CTACGATCTACATCACATTGGTGGAGCAGACATAACATTGAATGGCTACGAGATATCAGCATTTGCAAACATGCATGTTAAAGTGAACTGCTCCTTTTCCCTTTCACCAGCCATGTTGATCTAGCTCCAAAGTCTTGAGTGCATTTTGATCAAAACCAACCCATGGCTACGTACCCCTCCCCCCATGTGACACCACTATGGGCAAGTGATTTCCTGCATTGTGGTGGGGGGACAGGGGGAGTGTTATGTTTCCCTATACCAAGAACGGTTCTGGTGACAGATCATTAGAGTGCAGGGAAGGTAAGTATCAAGGTTTGCTTCAAGGTGGAATTCCAAGAGCTCATGACCACCACAGGCAATGTTGGCAAACTACCCCCTTGACGGCACTGAGTCTCTTTCTGCATTCAAGACTGCTGATAACAATATCAAATGGGTCCCCAGTTTGTAATAATTTTTTTTTAACAGGTAAGTTTCATTAGTTTAAAATACAAATATAAAGAGGACAATAACCAGAACATACAAAGCAAAAGAACCAAAAGTCCACGTCCAAGTGTACGTCAAGTAAAAAACATACAACTTGGTGCAGATGAAGGAGTGAGCATAAAATCATTGGCAACGGGTGGGGGGCGGGACAGAGGAAAGCATGGAAGCAAAGAAAGTCCATAGACATCCAGCTGTTTCATGGAACCAGGATATAACACAAGGCAGCAAAGAGGTAAAATCTCTGAAAAGTACAACAATACGCAGCCAAAGTTATTCAAGTCCAACCATGTGTCCCCCAATGACGGTCCTTGCGCCTCCACCCAATCAGCCCTCACACAATCAAATCTCTTAGGACAGGTACGGCTCCTATAAGTCACCTTATATAAAGGTAAGACTCTATTGACCGATCATGTTATTGACCGATAATATATCCTTACAGCTTGCTGACCCGTACAGATGCTTACCTTGTGCAGGTTTGTTCAGGTCTCTGAGAGCCGACGGAGGATCCAGCTGTCCAAGAGGAAGAAGAGGAACCGTATAATGCTTTAAGATATACGCTGGCAGAATGTGAACGTTTAGACAGGTTGGGTCTGTTCTGCTGGTTTCAGCACACACCCACTGACTGACGAATGCTGAGATTACCACTGGATACTGTACAAAGATAGATCCACGAGGACCGCGGAGAGATGGACCACAGCTGCCTCTATCTGAGCCAATAGTGGTCACATCATGTAAAATGGAAGCCGACTTGCTAGGAGTACAGAAATTATTATTATTATCATATTATTACGGGTATTTTATATAGTGCCATCAATTTACGAGGCTTCCCAAGACCTTGCTTGAAATCTTTAAAGGGTATCTAAAGTCATTTTTTTCTTTTGGATACACAAAACAAGATAATTTGGGGCTTTCTGAGATGAGAAGAAAAACAACAATAAGGTTGAGCCATTTAAAAAAGAATTTACAAAACTTTTATTGACACAGAAAACATTAAAATATCTGTGAACACCCATAAGAGCAAATCACAATGGTGAGCAGATTATCCATGTGGGAAGCAATCCCTCAGCAATTGGGACTTGCTCTTATGGGTGTTCATGGATGTTTTAATGTTTTGTAAATTCTTTTTAAACTGTCTCAACCTTATTGTGGTTTCTCTTCTCATGGCAGAAAGCCCCATACAATTTTGTTTTGTGTATCCTTTTAAATTGAGGTGAGGAGAGAATAAGCTTTTGGGAGACCTAATATTTATATTATACATACATTTCAATTACAATACAATTTAAGACAAGATGATGCTGTTATAACATCAGCATTGTAATAGGAATACATACTGGAGATGTTTCTAATAATACAATCAAAGCTTACGCAAAAAATCCCTGTTACATAGTGAGTGCTGCCTTTCATCTCCCATCACTTCCATCAACTTCCTGGATTCCCAGTGTGCTTTGCTTCTCTCTCCAGGCTGCTTGATGTGATACAATCTCCATTTCTCAATACTACACGTCCCATCATGCATTGCTTCCAGCAAGCAATGATAATGTTACATTGTTCAGACGTTGAGTTGTAGTTCAGAGGGCAGGCTCTGTGAGAGCGGTGACAGAAAGAACTGCAAATGGTGTCAGTGCGTTGAGGAAGTCCATGCTATGAGCATCTTCAATAAGTCAGTTTACAAACATCAAATGGATATGTTTTATTAGGAGCGGGGGTAGAACTCATAGAAATTCAATATAGAAATACAGAATTTTTTTTCATTTTTTTTTTACCATAATGTCTTTTTGCCTTGCTAGGGAGCTTCTGTAGAATTTCCAGAATTCACTTGAAAGCTGAATTCAGGTATTAATACTAAATCTGAATCTCCCAGACCCGAGTGGCATTCAGGATCCGAATTTCCACATTGCATTCGGGACTGGGAGTCATATACATATATTACTAAAGCTGAGGGAGCTCCCCAAATGCAATTTCGGAAATTCGGATCCCGAATGCCATTCCGGTGTCTAGGAGCCTCAGCTTTAGTATTATATGTATATACTGTATATGGCTCCCAATGTTGCCGAAATGAAAATTTGTGTTCACACCCATTCGGATGCATTAAACCGAAAAACAAATCAGATTGGCCAGAAAAGTCACATGTCCCATTCAGTTTCATTTTTGAACGAAATTCGGACGGGAACCGAAATTTGAAAACGGAAATTCGGATTCAGACACATTCTAATGCATTGGGATTCAGAGGTTTGGATGTGTCTGAATGCCCGAATTTTGGAAAATTAGTCAGAGTTTTGTTTCGGAATGAAACGAGTCGCGCGTGTCTCTGAAGAGAACTACTAAATGGTTCTCTTCAGAGTTCCCAGCGCTGCCTATGAGAATTATAATGGAGGAAGTGTTCTTATCATTTCGGTTCTGTGTATTTATTGTTTTGTTTTATTAGTTACATATTATTTCCTTTTTTTTTCTCTTTTCTAGAAGTCAGACGGGGAAATTGGGAAAGTTCTTGTTACAGAATTTCTTTTCCAACTACCCCAGTATGCCAAAAGTACCACCTTGTAATGTGTATGTTGGCAGCGAATAAAGCTGGAGATGTCAGGGGAATCACAGCGGGAACATTTTGTTATTGTTATCAGTTGGTTGAATAGAGAAAGGGGGAGGGGGATGTCATTAGTCTGATGCGGTCGGGACGGTTTCCATCAGATAATTTGAAGCTTCAGATCCGGTAAGTAAAATTTTAAAGCGGGTTACACCAACATTAGGCAATCCGCTGGCCATACTTACTGACCTGCAGGCTGCACAAAAGAAATCTAACAGCGTGGAAGGGGGAAATCTTCCTAGCTGACTATTGTATTCTGACAGCCAGTGCCCACGGCTGTCAGAATACCTAAACAGTGACTGCAGCTAATTGGCTGCACTCACCGTTCAGGGGTGGTTCAAAATCCAGCCCTCCAGCTCTTGTGGAACTACAAATCCCATGAGGCTTTGCAAGATTCTCACAGCCACAAGCATGACTCCCAGAGACAGATGCATGATGGGATTTGCAGTGTCACCACAGCAGGAGGGCCAGCGTTTGCCCACCCCTGTCCTAAACCCTAAAACTGGCCATACACTGCCTGAATTTCGGCAGAGTCTAGCTGCATCTGCCAATATTTGAGCTGTGCATGGAGCTGCCGGTACCACCTAGCTGTAAGAGTCAACTGTTCAGCCAAGTGGTGCCAGCAGGGCCACACACAGTTCCAATTTTGGTCAAGTCAGCAGGACTCGGCTAAAATTCGAGCAGTGTACGGTCAACTTTAGACTAGGGTTTAGGTTTGTGGCAGGTTCAGGGTTATAGGGTTCAGTGGCAGGATTTGGCTAGAAGAACAGTGTGGTGCCATCCTTCTTAAGGGGCACCATAAGGCCCGTCCCTAACACACTATAACGGACCTGCATTTCAGTGCTCCACAAAGCAGAGATATAACCCGTCTGTGCATTTTGGGAAAAAAAGTTGCAGATTCATCCAAAGGTCTGTTGTTACTTGTGACGCCATTATGAATAGGATACCTATTACCTTATAGCAATGCACATGTGTGACATAACGCACATTAACATGCGTCCAGTAACACAGCTCTGGATCAATGCCAGAGATACACATTCAATTGTGTAGAGTTGAAGCTTTAATTTATTTTACAACCCCTGCACGTGATTGGATGTTTGAAGGTTCACTTCATGCTATAGTAAATCAACACAAAAAAATATCTCTTCGTTATATCCATAGACACGAATGAGCAGATGGGCAGAGAGGGGTTCCAGGCTCATCATCCTTCCGGAATGTCATACGGCCAACAGACACCTGATTTGCATACACCTCACACTGCAGCGGAGGTGGATGATGCCAGAGATTTCACAACCAAAACCATTATTCACTTGCTGCTCTGTCACCCTCCTGGCTGCTTTCAGCATCTGAGTCCTGAGTCTGCTCCACGCAGAAGTCATATTGTAGAACTACGTCCATGTTTGTTCTCCGTGCAAGAAAGGTCAAAGAGCCGTAGAGTGCTAACAATTGTCAAAAATTTTGAGAAACGTGTTAAGATTCACCTTTTGCCATCCATATCTATGTATGGACTCATTTCAGAGTCCTAAATCTGCTCCATGCAGAAGTCATATTGAAGAACTACTGTATGTCCATGTTTGTGCTCCGCTACTTCTTATAAAGCAAACTTGTCACATATGAGAAAAGGTCAAAAAGCCATAGAGTGCTCTAAATTTTCACAGATTTTGCACAAATTCTAAAAAATGCATTAAGATTTGCCTGTTGACATCCATATACAGTATATGGCCTAATTTCAGAGTCCTGAGTCTGCTCCACACAGAAGTCATATTGTAGAACTACTTCCATGTTTGGGTTCTGCCACTTCCTATAAAGCAAACCTGTTACATGTGAAGAAAGGCAGAAGAGCCATAGAGTTCTTCAAATTTTCACAAACTCTGAGAAACACTTTAAAATTCACCTTTCACCATCCATATATATGGACTCAGAGTCTTTTACAGGATTTCAGCGTCATACTATAGAACTACGTCCATGTTTGTGCTCTGCTACTTCATATAAAGTAAACTTATCACACGTGAAGAAAGCTCAAAGAGCCGTAGAGTGCTTCAAATTTTCACAAATTCTGAGAAACGCATTAAGATTCACCTTTCACCATCCATATCTATGGACTCATTTTAGAGCCCTGGGTCTTCTCCATGCAGAAGTCATATTGAAGAACTAAGTCCATGTTTGTGCTCCGCTACTTCTTAAAAAGCAAACCTGTCACACATGAGGAAAGGTCAAAGAGCCGTAGAGTGCTTCAAATTTTCACAAATTTCCTAAATTCTGAGATTCACTTGTTGATATCCATATACAGTATACTATTGTCAAGGGACCTGCGCTATGGTAGCACAACACACCAAGCCGCTGTGCTAAAAATTGTAAAAAATATGCGCGTAAAATCAAACGTGACTTTTCAGAAAGTGCTCCGTGCTTTCGAATAAGACCCTCCACCTCTTTGTGATGATGTCAGATAAAATCCTCTCTCACCAGATGTCTATGATCATATAGCGTTTTTGGTGCAAAGAGCTGCCTCTCTGCTCTCAGTCTCTCTCCGCCATGTCCATCTCCACATGCAGATATCCAAAAAACATTCCCCAATCGTTCAAGGGGGAGATAAATGAAAACTCATAGGAGGGAATTTATCAAAACGGGAGCAGACAAAATCTGAAGCAAATGTGCATGGCAACCAATCAGCTTCTCTCCCTCATTTTCAACTCTTACCTGGGCAAACTGAAGAGAGATGCTGATTGGTTGCCATGGGCAACTGCTCCAGATTCTATTTGCTCCACTTTTGATAAATTTCCCTTATAGTGTACAGTAGTAGATCTTATAAAAGTAGATTAAAAATACTCTCAAACATAAAAGTAAACGATCGCTTCCTAAATCCTAAATCTCAAATCTCACAGAACATGTGTTCCACCCACTCCATTACCAAGACCATCAAACTCAACAAGACCTCCAAGCCTAATCCCATTTTA